ACTGCATATTTTATGAAAGAATGCTTTTGACTCTCTAGCAGCCAATATCTAGTTTAGTAATAGTGTTTCAGTTTCCTTGTGGGAAATTATTTCTCCTCCATTTAATAAAGTTCAGTGAGACTGTTACTCAAGATGTTCAGTCTTCCCCTGGCCAAGGGATGGGATAGTGGCCCCAGCCACCTTGGAATTTAAATTTTGAGCAGAATGAGAAAAAAGACATAGTTAAAAGAGGTAGCACTCTGGTGAGATTATAATAGTGATCTAAACTCTCTGACCCACCACCCTCTAGATCCAAATTTCTAGACTTGATTATTCCAGTATCTGAACCACCGGATATACTGCCAATACATTGCAATAATCATAGTCCCTATTACTTTTAACCAAAGGAACCTGATTTGTGCTGATTGGAAGTTGGTATACATTTATTTGTGTCACTGATTAACACAGAAAAACAAAATAAGTTTTCGACAAACTTATGGTTGCTAGGGTGGGAAAGGGGTGGGAAGGGATAAATCAGGAGTTGGAGATTTGCAGGTACTAACTACATATATAAAATAGATAAACAACGAGTTTTTATTGCAGAGCACAGGGAACTATATTCAATATCTTGTAGTAACCTATAATGGAAAAGAATATGAAAATGAGTATATGTATGTATATGTGTGGCAAAAACATTTTGCTGTACACCATAAATGACACAACATTATAAACTGAATATATCTCAACAAAAAAATTAGCTTTCATTTAACATTTGCAGTTTGGCTTTCAGAATGGAGGATGAATGGGGATGAATGCTATAGAAGGTAAATGGGGTCATGGTGGGCACTGTGTAGAGAAACAATGATTAATAGGACAGGCATGTCCCTGGTCACATGAGGCTCATAGTGTAATGGGGCATGCACAGTCATAAACAGCACGTGTTTCACTGAATATTAATCGACTATGATGGGGAACCAAACAGGTGCCATAAGAACACATTGAAAGGCAGGGAGGGATTTCTGGAGCAGAGGGGACTGTAGGGTAAGAAGTAGGAGTCACTGGCAAAGTGAAGAGGGAATGCTGGTAGGAGTTGGGATGGAGAGGACATCATTTTACAGGTAGAGAGAAAGAAGTCCAGAGTCTGGTAGAGCACAAAATGCCTAGTACCTTCAAAGACCTGAAGGAAGATCTCTGTTTCTCGGTTATGGAAACTCATAAACCAAGAGATTGACTGTGGACATTTCCTGAGAGATTGGTGGAAGGGAAACGCCTTAAACCTCAGAGAATGACTCTCTCTTTTGTGCAGGGAACTTTAGAAGCCTGGGCCAGCTAGTGAGAATAAGGAAATAGTCCTTTGTGAGTTGGGTTGGAGGGAACATTTCAAAGACCCACAGTCACTGCCTTTTTAACCTACATTTAAACATGGTTCTGCCAGGCTGAGTACCACCAGAAGCAGAAACTGCAATTCCCCCTAGAGTAGTAGATCCAGCCATTTTGTTTTAATTCAGTAAGTTTGGACCAGAGTAGAATAGTAATTTAGGTTCAGGAGGTGATGAAGCAGGCAGTCAGTTCTACAGATAGAAAATGGCAGATCTGGGACCACGTGACACCGTCTGGTGACTCTGCTCACTGCCCTGCCCAGTGGGGGTGGGGGGTAGAACACCTAACAGGAACGAACAAATGACATCATGGTTCCCAAATTTCTTGTCTCCGCAGATCCCTTTGAAAACCCGAGAGTTGAAAAATTCGAGGTGGGAACTGCTGAACAAGGTATGTTTATAAATACTGATTTATTTGGGAGGAATGCCATAGAACTAGTCAAATGGATCATCTTAATGTTTTGAGACAAACAGACCAGTTTCCACAAATACTTACTGAGCACTGCCCCATGACCAGCACCGTGTTGCTACTCCAGCGGATCTGAAAAATAAATAAGATGTTTACCTTGACCTTCAGAAGCTTATCTCACAGAAGGGCACTTGAGAACATTGCTAGATCTCATTCACTCTTTCGGACAAATTACTGTATAATGGTCTAGGGCTGTCTGTAAGTAAGAACACATTGTCAGCCTGTGTTATAATAAATGGAATAAGTGAATTGTTGACAGTATGGCATAAACCTGATATACCATTATAATAGGAATTCAAGAGGAAAAAAAAAACAAATATTTATGGGCCAGGGGCTTGATGAGCCTCATTTCATTTAATTCTCCCTGCAGCCTTGCAAAGTATATATGAATGGCCCCATTTTACAGAAGTAGCAACTGAGGCAAAATTAGGGAAATTGCCTCCAGTCACTCAATCAGTAAGTAATAGCAGGGCTGAGTGAGGAACCGTTGTCTCTGGTCTCCAGTGTCCATGCGTTTCCCACAAGACCATGCTGCTCTTACTGCTTCCAGCAAAAGGATTCTCCCACGATCTCATCAGCTGCTTGCTGTACTTCCCCGGTGTTTCTACAGACCACTGAGCTTATTTAAATCAGTGATAAGCGTATCGATTAGAGAGGCTTCTGATGCATATTCTTCTGTTTGCCTATCCTAGATGAGACTGGATAGATTTTGATCTGAATTATTGCTGGAGAGTTGGGGCTGCTGTGTGCCCATGAGTCTTTTGCTGTGATGAATCACCACTCTGTGACCCTAAAAAGTCAAAGTTGACAATAATCATTTATTGTAACCAAGAAGGAAAAAGCCTAATACTGGGTGAATGATAACTATGGCTCTGAATGGGTATTTAGATGATATATACTCTACTGCAGTGACCCCTATTTTTTAACACTTCTGGGCCACCTGTCTTCCCTCTCATCCCAAGTGTGTTACAGAATCTGACAGCTGTCAGCCCTGTAGCAGTAGGAAGTTGCTAGAATATAGCATATATCCAATAGGGTTTTTTTGTTGTTTTTTTTTAAATTGCGTGCCTGAGTGCCCTAAACTATGCTAGTGACTTCCTTTGACCCTTAACCTTTACAGAATCCCCAGGTAGTCGTTATTATCCCAATTTTCAGGTGAGGAAATGAGGTTTAAATAGATGAAGAAACTTCTCCGCATTTTCACAGGTAGCAAATGGCAGATCTGGGATTCCATGTCACTGTCCGGGGATTCACTTGCTGCTCTCCTTAAAAAGGGGATGAAAGAAACACTGAGGTCTAGAACGCCCAGGGAACTGGTTATCAATGGGCGAGTTGTTGTTGAGGACTGAACGTGTCTCCCCCAAATTTATATGTTGAAATCCTAACCCCTCAATGTGATGGTTTGAGGGGCTGGGCCTTTGGGAGGCGATTACATCATGAGGGTGCAATTTTCATGAAGGAGATTAGTTTCCTTATAAAAGAGACCCCGACAGCTCCTTGCTTTCTGTCATGAGAGGACACAGCGAGATGTGGCTGTCTATGAAATGGAAACAGGTCCTCACCAGACACCCAACATGCTAGCTTTTTGATCTTGGATTTCTCAGCCTCCAGAACTGTGAGAAAGAAATGTTTGTTGTTTAAGCCACCTGGCATGAATGGACTAACACAATGGTGGACTCAGTTGTAAATGTTAGTTAAACATAAATATATTTTTCTGTCACTTAATGCCCTGTCCTGAGCAGACCTCCGAGCTCCTTTCCTACAGGGGCTGGTCACCTCTGATATAATCATGTGTCCCCACTGCTGCTTCCCTCAGCCCCTTTCAGAGTCCTCTCTTCCCATTTGTCAGATGGCTCTTTGCATCCTCAGAAGGGGTGCTCCCATGGAAACTTCCAGGGTCTTCCTTACTTGGAGCAATTATTTAAATTTTCCTTTCATTTTCCCTGCACCTACTAGATGTTTAGGTCCTCAAAAAACTCAAGGTCAAGTGGAGTGTCGGACGTCTAGACAATTGATTGTAATGTGCCTCACAAAGGTAGATTCAGTCACAGATTTAGTACCTTATTAAGAACCATTGAACATTGATGGAATCTCTAGTGATTATATTATTTATGATTGGTGGAATCGCTAGTGAAAATTAATATTATTTTATTATTTATAGAGGGTCATGTCCTATAACCATAAAAAGCGTTATTTTTAGCATCCTCAATTGCCTCTTGGCTGGTCAGGAAAAAAATCTTTTTCTGAAATTCGTTTATCACAAGTTACTTACTGCTTTCTATTTCCAACGATGAATCATCTTTATATGACATTTCATGTTCTCAAATAGCCTCTGGTGGCAATGGGACTGGCCTGTCCTTTCCTGGTGCTGTGAGGGGCTTGGTGGGGTATCATTTTTGGTGTTTTAGTAAGAAGATTCAGGAGGAATAATGCCACGAATAGATAAGCTTGAGTTTTGTTTATAGCTTTGCCTAACATTGAAATGTAATCTCCAGTGCTTTAAGCAGTATAACAAGCATCTTTGGATTCCTGGACATTTTCACTGATAGAATTTGGGAAACTCATCTGGCCTGTAGTGGATTTGTGCCAGATAGTGAAACAGAGCACAGGGTTTGGGAGGAAGTCAGCCACAAGCAAATCTTTTCACTTTCCCCTGCAGTGTTCTGAGCTGTGGGGTCTTGCTTCATTAGAAGCACACAGCTTCTAATGAATGGATGTTAATAAGAGAATTTAGCGGTTATTGGTCAAATCATCTCTATGCCCTATTTATCTAAATATTGAGGCTGTTTTGTAGAAAAGCCAGAACCTGCAACTGTATTTGCTGAGCAAATTTCACAGCCAGGCTATGCATACCAGGAGTCAGTGGAGAACACCAGGTTATTTTCTCCTTTCCAGAAGAGGGGAGAAGAAATAAGAATATGGCCTGCCAGCAGAAATGTGGTTAGGTGACGTAGAGGCAACAGATTTTTGCCATTCTTTATCGCTGATTTCTGGAAACAGCCAGTCTCTGAGGACCAGAAGGCACAGGGCCCAGAGGTACTGATCAGGGAGAGCAGGTTGTGCCTCAGTTTCTCTAGGTGTCAGACAGCTGCTGGAGCTGGCATGCTTTCTTCCTTGCACTCTTTCTTATCAGAAGGATTCATGATTAATGATACAATTCCTGGAAAGTTCTTAAAGCTTCTCAGGAGAAGGATCACATTTAAATGAATTACAACAAATGGTCCAGATCCTTCCAATGTCTGGGTCCCTTCTCTCTGACACGAGCTCTTTTAAGAGCTATATAAACTCTTGCATAGCATGAAGATACTTTCAGGATATTTCAGTAAATCATGGAATGCACTCATTTATTCATTCATTCAGTTGTCAGCGAGCATTGCTTGAATAGCCATTGCGTGCCAGACACTATGCTGGCTAACATATAGGGGTTAGTAAGAGCTCTAACGGGGCTCCTGGGATCACAAGCTGTCCTTGTGGTAGAGTGTTTTGGCATGAAACGTTGCGTTTATTCTCACAACAATGTGGGGAAGTGAATATCATTGTTAGCTCTATTTTACCGATAAGGACTCCGAGGTCACGTGCTGTGCCCCAGAACCTCTATGTAAAACCTACCCCCTCCAAATTTCATCCTATTTCCAATATGTCATGTTGTATTTTCACTTTATATGAACTTTGGTTACTAGATTTTAATCAAAATAGACCAACCAAAGTCGATAAAAAAGTTAGACCCTTGGCACTGCAGGATTTAACTTTCTTAGCTTTGACTATTTGCTAGACTATTCTTGGACACCCTTAGCAAATGACATGGAAGAACCATGACTTAGGGATTTAAGTTGCTGAGACATGATCTGAATCTCTTACCCTAGGAGGCCAGGGTGTGGGGCCAGTCCCTTATGTTCAGAGTGTCTTGTCAAGCATCCACATCTCAATGTGACTCTATTTCTTTATGTTTTCATTTATGTGTTTTATAGGGAAAATGCAACAGGGGTCTGCCAATTAGCAATAGTATTTATGAATTTTGGAACTCAAGAAAGAGTCTCAGGAGTTGTCCATGGTGAATATTAATATAAAATTTACTAACGTGGAAACGAACAGCTTCAGTCTGGGGACTTGAAGTTGGAATCTGATCTCCTCGTGGGTCACGTCTTCTCAGCCATTTGACTTGCCAGAGCCTCTTCTACTGCTCTCTCTCCTCTCCTTAGGAACAGGGCACAAGCCTCTGGCTTGTGTCACCTTTGATGGGAACTTTTGCAGTCGTACCCTGTTGTGCAAAACCTTCAAAGAGGTTCCTCTGGGCCCTGGAGGTGTCCACAGCTCCCAGTATTACCTCTTCCTTAGTCAGAATGGCTAGCTGGAGCACTGTCCATTCAGGCTGCCATAACAAAATACCGCAGACTGGATAGCTTATACACAGCAGCAATGGATTTCTCAGAGTTCTGGAAACTGGGAGCCCAAGAGCAAGGTGCCAACATGGTGTGTTCTGGTGACAGCATTCTGGTGACAACGCTCTTCTTGGTTCATAGCCAGCACCTTTTCCCTGTGTCCTCCCAGGGTCCATGGAAGGGGCTAGAAACCTCTCTTGTTTAATAAAGGCACTAAGTCCACTCATGAGGTTCCACCCTCTTTTCATGACCTCCATCATCTTTGGGGGTTAGGTTTCAACATATAAATTTGGAGGACACAAATATTCAGACCATAGCAGGAGAGCACTGCAGGGAATAAGGAGTTTTAGGCAGCCTTGGAGGTTTGCAATAATTTTCTGTATTTACCTGTCTGTGATGAGATTAGTAGGATGAGCAGGTCTTTCTCAAATCTGTGGCATTCACATCTCCTTTGTGCTCTTTACTGCTGATAGGAGCCTTACAAGAGTATGATCTCTGACCCTAGAGGCCTCATTAAACATTTCATTTTCATAAAATACCCCA